ACAGCCGGGAAGCGCATCCCGGGTCCTGGTCAGTTCCCGGCTGGCCTGGACGCGACCCGGACCCGGATCCTGGGAAGCGTCCCGGGCCCGGTGTAGGTACTGTTGGATGGGAACCGGATCCCGGTACGTATGGCGCTGGGGGGTCCGGTCACGTGAGGGCGGTTCACCGAGGTGCGCTTTGGTGCTAGAGGGTGGGCGAGGCGAGTGTGTGGCAGACACCTTTGGAAGGGGCCAAGCAATAAAATGTTTGATTAACATTTAATTCCATTTGCACACTGTACATTATGGCTGTGTGTAGTTGCCGACTTTCGTGAGGGGTGGTCATGTGGTTGTTCGTTACTTGCAGGACTTCTTGCCATGAACTATGCGCCCTATCACGAAAACAGGAGTATTGTGGTCCTCAATTGCGCGACCGCTTTGTTTGGGATCGCCTCGCCCTCATTGCACTGACACTTCAGTTCACGAACAGGAGTCATGTTCATAAACGGAAGTAGTCATGCTGCATGATTGTGTCCCTGCTTCTAATGGCGATTGGCGCCTCCCGGGCCAGGCGACCGTTGGGCGGCGGAGGATGTGTCCCTCGCGGACACATGCAAGGGTATGTGTGCTTACCTGGCGGATACTCTGACCAGCGTCAACGGCAAACGGCTCCACTGTCTGGCCGGCACTCTGCCCTTTTTGATAAACGCAGCCACCGCAGAGAGTGGAGTGACGCGCGAGCGGAGAGTCTGAGGCGTCCGGCGGCCATTTTGCCAAATGGATGACCTGAGGCCAAGGTCGAGTGCGCCGGGCAGCGAACACTGGGCACATAGGTTTGATCACTAAAGTTAGCGACCACCAGTTTTCATTTGTTCCGTGCTCGACCTCAACCTTGCTCCAGAGTTCATTCCACTACTGCCTATCTTGCAACTGCGTGCCCAGCTCAGTTGGTTTGATGCCATGACAATCGCCGTTATGGGGCTTAGTACCGTGAAAATGTTAACACAATTGGTACCACGAAAATGCCATTTCCTGCCAGTGCTGCCCACCAGGAATGTCAACAGCAAGAGGCATCTCAAAAACTGCGGATAATGCACCTTTGAAGCCTGTGTTACCTTTGATGGGCACCCATTGCAGAATCTCTCGAGCAGCTGCACTTTGAAAGGAAGTCTCGAGAGGGCTGGAAGCCCATGTTGGAGCGCATCCGCCACCTGCGGCCTCTTGGGCTTGCATCCCTTTCCGCAGAGGATGCGCCTATGCGCTGCTGCGCTTCGAAGCAAATAAACGGATTTCAAAATGCTTACTTCCTGGGTTGGAGGTATCGAGAAATCTCGTGGTTTGATATCTTATGAAATCGAATCGTTTGCCAATGTCGGAACTTTTGAGATGCTAAGCGAATTGCGATGCCTCTGCTGCTCAGCTTGCTGCGGTTGCAGAAGCCACACCGGCGATCTGCAGAACAGATAACTGCGGCATCCCCGGGATTGGGGTGCCACTTCCTCCCAGCATATTCGGAAGAATCTGTTTCGGTGGTGTTCTCAGCAAGCCAAGGGAACACTCGAAACGGGGATCACATGCTGTGTCTCATTACTGTGTCTCATTGAGCGGCAAAAGGAACAGGAAGAACAAATATACTACAGCAATTTACTTGTGTGGCAGCCTTGCCAAGTTTCCTCCAAGGTCGGCTGGGTACCTTTTTATTGAGGTACGCCCACGATCGCCCTCTATTTTGATGTCCTCCACCCGCGTAGCCCTGACAGTGTGACTCCGACATTCGAAACATGTGAGCAAGGAAGTACAGGGATTTGGTAGCTCATGTTGCGAGCGAAAATAATCAAGCTCTTTGACTACCAGAGCCAAGGGGTGTTTCGTCGTAAAGCACTCGTCAAACACAAGACTTGTGTGCATGGAGACACGGGCTATGTGTCCATTTCTGACAAATTAAAATTCAAATGCAGAGTTACTTGGATTGCAATGGACAGCGAAGGGCCCCTTGCCGTGAGTGCTTGCTAACGCACACGTCGTGTGAGCCTGGCGGGAACGAATTCCGTCAGGCGTTTTTTATGCCCCCCTCTCCCGTGGGGGGAAGGCATAAAAATGTACCACAAAGGCTGCCATCGCTCTGAAAATGCCCGCTGGGGCCACCAACTGGGGCCAAGCCTGGCAAGGCGACGCAGCCAGGCCCGCGTGGCCCGCGGCGCGTCGCTCCGCCCACGCCAATGGGAAAAGTCCACGCGGCTGCCCTCTGCCCGATCGACCCATTCCTTTGCGATGAAATGCGGGCGCCTGCCCTTCGCTTTTGCCTGGTGGCGAGTTATTGCGCCTCAGCGGCATGGCAAGGGGATTGCCAGGCGAGGGAGGCGGCATCGGGCTCGTCGGCGCGTCTTGTTGCGGCTGGGTGCGTACGCTTGATTCCGTTGGGCGCTGTGACCAGCATGTCGCGTGTTATTATGCCGCATGTCAAGCCACATGTCAACAATGCCCGGCGCTTCCCCTGCCCGTTTGTCCGGTGGCTTTTTGTGCGCCTGAGCCGCATGGCAGGGGGATTGGGAGGCGAGGGAGACGGCAGAGGCACTGGCAGGCGCGGCAGGATGCGTTTGCTTGATCCTGTTTGGTGCGCAGATGAACATGTCACAAGCCACAAGTCAAACCGCTTGTCAACAAACTGTTGGTGCTTTACACGGCCTTGCACTCTCTTGCCAGGTGGCACAAGGCTCGCATGTCTTGTGTCAGGACGGGGGTGGCACCTGGACACTGAAATGTGATGTAATATTTTGGAATCAAAAAGCGAAGCCACAAATCATGTCAACAAAGCCCGATCAACACTTAGGTAATTGATGCATCGTTGGGTGTTAATGATGGGGCATCCGGGTGCCTTTGGCCAACTCGCAACCACGGGGGAGAGGAAACGATGTTAACAGCAGCGGTGCGGAGCTGTGCAGTGGCCATTGAGACTGAGTGCTCTTTCGCCACAGGCTACACAAACTGGGTGTGAAATTGGCTGGTGAGGAAGGCCATTTTGGTAAAGCTGGGTGTGCGTTGGATTCAGAGACCCGATCTTCCTCTACCTCAGTGCTGGCTTCGGGAGTCTGGAAGGTTCTAGATGGTCTCGAGGCCGTGCACAGCTGCAGGAGACTGCACCTTGTGACGCAACACAGATATTGCTGGCATCGCATCGATCATTTTGGTCCCCATTCAATTGCATTGAAATGGTTGTTAGTGTTTCTGGCAAAACAGAGCCTGCACACATTGCATGTTTGAAAGATCCCCGCCAAATCTGCCTGCCATAGAGCACCAATACTGTGGTCACCAAACTGATCAGCTGCCCTGACTAAAATGTAAGCCCTCAAGATGTGTGCCTATGATTCACGCGCACACGGACTTCAAGCCTCCTGACCTTGACCCTCTGACTCTTCACTCCACTCACCTACTACTGGCTGCATTTCATGGCATCCAGCCCTCTTGACACAATTTAAGTATGGAACCACCCAGTAACTGTGATATAACCCACACCAGCAAGATGTAATTCTCTGCACACCTCTGCTCATCAACAACAGCTGCTCGCCCCCAGGACGATCCCCACTATCAGATCCTGGTTTCGTCCCGGTTTTCTCCCCATCCGAGGTGATGTCCTTCAACAATCAGCCATCGACTCCTGGTAGCACAGTGGCCCAGCAGCACCATCCTGGTGGGGCTGATGGGCCTGACTAACCCACTGCAACTGTGCCATTGCCTCCACCTGGGTGCCCTGGTTGGATGGGTTGATGTGGAAGCCACTGGGCCAGGCAAGCAGCTGGCATGCAGCAATTCGGGTCTAGGTGCTGCCTTCCACCACCACCACCACTACTGTGGCAGCGCTAGGTTTTGGACCACTCTCAACAGGTTAGTTCGAAATGGACACAGGTGAACCCTGCTGCCATGGCACGCTGGCTCACCCATGTCTGCCACAGCTTCCAGATTTCCACTGCTGTCTACAACATTCCTAGTTGGTGGATTGAGCTTCAGCCCACCTGGGAATCGGACCAACGGAGCATCGATATGTACCACTACAGACATCAGCTGTCCCTATGTCATGTGCCAACTTATAAGTCAAGATGTCTCAAGGAATGGCTGGGTTCAGAAACCTGTTCCTCAGAGGGAGCAGCAACAATTCCCGGTCCCCTCATTCACAGCATTCACAAACAGTCGTACAGTTCCATACCATTGGTGCATTGACCTGTACCTTCCACAACTCCCAGATCTCCCACTCCTTGGCAGCAGAGAGTTGCATGCCTTCACTTCTGGATTGCAGGGCCAACCAAGTCGGCTCCGCCAGCCACATCCATTCAAGGGGGTGTCCATCGCTCAGGTAATTTCGCCAGTTCCTGGCAAACGACCTCCATCGTTGGTCTCTCACTGGGTTCAAAGCGACAGCACCACTTCATCAGCGCGTGCATTGCCTCTGGACAGTCGTCGGGCTTCACTTGGCATGGCTCCTCCTTGTCAAAAAGCTTCTTTCCTAAAACAACAGCCAAGACTCTCTCCCAGGGCATGCGCTCCACTCCATACGGATGGTTGCCTGTGACGATCTCGTACAGCACAACCCCGAAGCTGAAAACGTCCGAGGCCAGCGTGTAGGGCTTTTCGTCGTCGATCTCTGGCGCCTGCCATTCCACCGTGCCTCCCCGGGTACTTGCAATATCTTGCTTCATAATTGTGAACACCTCAGACAGACCAAAATCGCCGATCTTGACAGTGTCAGTTTCCGGCTGATCGCCAAACACCAGAAAATTGGTGCTCTTAACATCGGAGTGCACGACTGGCGGCATCCTGGCGTGCATGTACTTTAGGCCTGCTCCTGCTTGTCTTGCGTACTTTAACTTCAAGTGCCAGGGCAGTCCAGGCCCCTCGCTGCTCAGCTTGCTCTTCAAGTTTGCATCCGCCAGCTCCATGACTAACCAGCCGCTCTTTGTGGTCGCTTTCAACTCCACAACATGTTCACCTCTGAGAGAGGCATGCACAGAGACCTCCTTGAAGGATGCGGCGATGCTTCCATCCCCCCTTCGAATCTTGACCGCCACAGGCGACCCCATCCAAAGACCCTTGTACACTGTGCTGATGGCACCAACGCCGATCCTTTCAGTGCATGTGACGTCGCCATCAGAAATGGGCTGCAGGTGCTTCATGTGACCCTTGAGCTCGCGCCTAATTCCTGCCCATTCATTGTACACATGGGCATCTTCAAAGCTACAGTCCACGTCCAGGAAGATGTATTCAACCAGCGCATCCAACCATCGTCTATCTTCGGTGACAAGGTGGTCTGGGACCTCATAAGAGCACTTCACAGTGTCGCTTAGACCCCATTCCTCAAGATACGCATACAGCGCCCGGCTGATCTGCTCAATCATGCGCACTGCATGTCCTGTATCGTAGAAAGTTAATGGGTCGAACGTAATTTGATGCATGCGGATGAGCCTCTGGCCCTTCATGATCACCGTTTCGAACTCCTCCCAGGACTCTGGGGTTGCACAATATGGCCTTTCCAGATCGGAAACCTGGTTCAGTTGGTGCTTCAAGAAATGGATGACATTGTGGTTGTACTGGAGTCCCTGCAAATGTTCTGGAAGCATTTCTATCGTGTGTTGCACCTATCCAAAAATTCAGCATGCCACACGTCAGGATAGGAAGCCACAAAGTGAACAATGTACATTCGATGTGCCAAGGACGTCATGAACATCTCTCCACTTTGCCAGTTACACTGAGACAGATTACTCAAGTTGGTTCATATCTAAGGACGCAACTGCATCTTGGCACACCTTGCAGGGGATTAGTGCCAAAATATGACATTGATACAAACATATCCCAGGCAACATCATGCAGCTCTGTCCAAGCTTCATATGCAAACCAACTAGTGCGTTGCAGCCTAAAATTGTGCCATCATCAGGAGACCAGGGGCTCGCCTTTAGGATCCAATCCATGCACCACACTAAGACAAATACAGCCTAGAAAACTAATGCCATTGCTGGCAAAGCAACTTTGGGCTGTGGTCTTCAAGCACATTCGTTTTCAGCGGCTCCCACGTGAGCAGGTTCTTAGTCCTAGATGTCTTTGGTGGCCTCCTCTGTACTTGCCTCTTTGCCTTCGATCAGACCCTCAGCTGCACCATCATGTTGCTCTTGCACTGGCGACATTTTGGTAAACAAGATCTGTTGCCCTTTTTGCTGCTGCTCAGATTTTGTGTCCCTGACATTTTGGATCGCTTTGACATGCAGGACAGAAAAGTTTCATGTGAGATAAAGGGATTCTCACCCAATTTGAGATTCACATATTTTTACTTCATCACAATTATTACTTTAATACAATTGGTTCTCCTGTTGATTTGCTTACATCCAGGAAACAACACTCAGGTGTGCCCACGCAACTTGTATGTCCGATTCCAGAATCTTCATCCTTGCCAGGATTGTGAATACTGGCTGGACCGAGCATGTTTTTTTCATACTTCCATACAATCAGTGCAACTTATCCACTTTATCCTGGCCATCCAGATGCAGTGCCAATCCACAAAAGGCCCACAACTATTGCATTGCAGACAACAGTCTGTGTTGCATGCAAACCCACCAAAGAAATATCCCAACTACATCAATGATACTTCTTCTCTGAAGCCGTAATTACCCTAACCTTTGCAAAACTGTAACAGCAGGGGAAGTTGCATTCTGTTGCAGCCTCAAGCCAACACGCCTGCAGCAACACAGCACAGGGCCATCCCACAGAGATAGATTTTCACATCAAGAATATCCTTGCACACAATATTCTCACCTGCAAATGCCTCCTTCATTATAGCCACTGCCTTGTTCAGGTCTGACCTCACACAATGGAAGCCTCTTGCGAAACCCCTTGCATTCCAGACCTTTGTCATAAGGCGCATGTACCCAGCCTCTTTCACGAGGTGCTCAGCTTTTTTCAGAGCAGCATGTACATTCTCCAGTCCTGCCTGCAGGCTTTTCTTGAGGCTTGGTTCAAGATTTTGTATCTTGTTCCTCTGCGTCTTGATAGATGCGAGCTCCCACTCAATGGTGCTTGTCTCACGTGCAACTGCTTGGCAAGTTCTGATATTCGTTTTTGCAGCTGCCGCAATGCCTTGCAACCTTTTTCCAATATCCAGGGCTGCATCTACTGCATGGAATATGTCCACATCTGGGACAGCGGTGTGCATCTCTGCAGCACATGGAGCACAAATTGAGCACATGGCCAATTGCTTTCTGAGGGACACGTGATCCACAGCTTCAGGAATTTCAACTTCCATGTCCTCTTTATTTTAAAATCAAGACAAACAACACTTTCTGATACATCGACACCCAAGTCCTGTTTAGAACTTCCGAACAACTCCTCAGCACTGCGTTTGGAAACTGAGAAACAATAATGCTGAAGATACTGCCAGTGCATGTTGCCTGCCTTGATCCCCTGCCCATCCTATCACTTGATGCACAATCCAGATGTTAAGTAACAAGCAAGTGGGCCTCCTGTCTGGGCATTCCTGGCAGCAAATCGTGCATTCTGTCAAGTTCCTGTCCCTGTTTAATCCATTCTGAACTGCATGCAATCTGGTATCAGCAATGCCAATTGCGATTAAATGTGGCAATGTCTAATGTTATATTTAATCCTTCCGCATTGTAACGTAACATTTGACCTTATTTGGTGGAGCAGTAATAAAAAAACGCAAATGTGCCCAAACATGCAGCCCATCCACGTGACAAGGATCTCTGGACTGCTCGCAGCGTCTAGCAGCACATGTGCATGAGTCACTGGCAGACAACTGGCATTTGAAGATGTAAGAACTGCGTGAAATTGCCATTGTGGGTTGCTCATGAGGCAGAACTCAACAACTAACGGTCTGTGAGAACAGTTCAGAAGAAACTGTAATGCTGAAACTTCAGAATGCGAAAGGGTTGAATACAATATGGTTTTTGACAATGTTCACAAGCACAGGCAGCCCTCATGTGTGAACCGTAATGACAGGATTCATAATGCACCTATGTTCTGGTCCCATCCCCACTGATTGATGCGCCCACATCCTCAAATTACAGCACTTTTTCAAATAGCACAAATGGACATGAGGGGGGGAAACAGAGACAACATAAATGCAAGCAGATGCCAGCATAACAGCACAGGACTGTTGTCCTTGACTACTGTCACCGTCAGATGCTGCCCACCATCCACTGGTTCCTCCTGGTGTCCAGAGGGTGCGGGTGTGCCGATCACCAAATTTTCAATTTCTGCTATCATTGACCCAAATGCATCTTCATCGTGCAGCTTTCGAAGATCTTCAATCTCAGCCCTTCCGATGGACTCTGTGACTCCTGGCTCCAAGCCTGTAGCTGTCTGCATCTTGAGAAACACTTTCTTTTCAGCACTCTCTAGGGCACACCAAACTTTATCCATGAAAGCTTGTCCACACCTTGACATCATGCGTCTCTTTGCCCTGTGAATGTTGGAGGCCTGCAGAGTGAGATCGCCTAATTTGTACAGCCTAGCAAGTGAAATCAGCAATATGTCATGTCGATCTATGTCCTCGTCTGCCCTCCATTTGATGGTGATTCCAGACCAGCTGCTCCACGTTTTTTTAGAAGAGGGTGCTGTGTGTCCATATGTGCACAAGTGTGCAGTGCCCCAAAGCAACAAAGCCCAGACCAGTGATGCCATCCCTCCCCATAGGGGCAGCGCTACATAGCCAACAACTGCAAGCAACAACAATGCATAGTAGGAAGCATGAGAGAGTTTGACTGATGCCATATTGATTATGATCAGCACGTAGATGCAGTTTGTAACTTGGGGAATTATGCTCAAGAAGTCATCCTGGGATGAACAGCTCTGGATCTCATGATTGCCATCTTCCAAAATGGCTGTATCTTTGCTGCACAGCACTTGGCGTATCTCTGGGATCAGCAAGCAGCTGGCAGAGGCATATGTCCACCACTTCCTGAGTCCCAGACGTTGCACAATCTGTGGCGGACTGTTTGCAATCATGATAGTCTTCACCTTTGCCTGCATGTCTCTCTGTCTTGACTTCAAGACCCACAATTGGGGAAAGATGTCCCCCTGTGAAACAAGCCACTGAGGACAAAGGTGGCTATGCAATGACATTATGCAATGCGCAATGGGATCAAACACGACACCCGAATGGAGGCGATCAGTGCCCTGCCAGTCCCCACGAGCCAGTCCTAATTCCTCCATCTCTGCCCACACATCCATACCAAGAACTTCTTTGTTCCATTTTAGAGGAGCAATGCTCAGTGCAGCCACCACGAGTATTTTCTCAGGGTACTGCGAGGGTATACAACGAATGGCATCCTGCGAGTTGTGAACGTTGGCCATGGCTTCCTTGTCCTCACCCCAGGAACTTTTAATACCGTGTCGCAGCCACGTAGCAATGACATGCCCTCGACGAGTGTCTGGTGCCCACTGAATGAAGTGATGAAAGATCAGCACCATTGATACAGCCGCCGAGCCACCCTCAAGCAGTAGATGGAACAGGCCATGCTTGCCCGCCGCAATGTACCAAGTGGACACCACCACCGCAGAAATCATAGACAGCCAAAAATAGAGCACAACCCACCTATGCATTCTGCTGAGATCGCATACTCGTCTGGCCATATTGTTCACATACAGAGTACAGAGCAAGGCGACATAGAATGGCACTGCATGGGCAGCAATGGGCAACATGTAGTGGTCGTTGGCCTCACTTTGCACCTCAGAATCCGCTCCCACTGATTCCATACTCAACAAAGCCATCGCCAAAGCCAGCAAGCATCCAAGGTTTCCCCTTCTGCCAGTGGCTTGCCTGGGAAACAACTGCAGTTCTGTGTTTCCATCGCATGGTTGCCTCAAACGTCCTGCAAACACATCCCTCTGAACCCCCAAGTCAAGCATGGCCCCTCGATTTCACCCCCTCTCAGCTTCCCCCCTGCAGAGACAGCACAACATATTCTCCAATGAAAGAGAGTGTGTATCCTGTGAGCACCATTTACCAACCAATGAAAGAGATTTGTGGCAGTCTTCGCAATGTAGAAGGAGGCACATGCACAGCGGAAAACCATGGCTACCAGACAGCTGTTGCAGGCGGCGCATGTTCGGGCCAGCATTTGGCAGTGGATACTGGACGTTCACCAAGTATCCAAACCAAACCATACTTGGACCATAGGCCGGCCACTTCCGCTCATCGCGCCGCTCATACGCGATCCAAACAGACTGCTGAATGCACGGAAGGTGGTGGACCCGAGCCGTAGCCGCCACGGCATTCGGCGAGTCTCGACCACCCCATCAACTACCAGCGAGGCTCTCCTTCGTAAAAAGGCCTCCCACATAACCACTTCGAGACCCCAGTGCGCGAAAACGCGTCAACCAGCGCACCATGTATCCAACTTCAACACGGCCTAGGGCACCTGCAGTACCTGTCCAAGACGGCGCCTTGGCCCGTTGACGCTCGGCAAGAACTGGGTGCCGCGCGAAATGCCGTTTATGGCGCAGCTTTCCTCTCGACAGCCGCTGTGCCCCGCTGACCAGTGGAGGCTGGCCCCTGCCCAGCAACGCCGCTCGCTGCTTCCCACGCCGATGTGCCATGAGGCATTAAGGTTCCAATGGAACCTCACCATTCCGCTCCGCGCACAACAGCAGCATTGTTCATCGTTATTTATATATAAATATTATTATTATATAATCATTTATATATAAATAACCGCAATCAAATGGGCGAAACCGTGCTCGCAACAACTGCACTGTCACTGGTAGAAAACAGCATGTCTGCGATGCCAACTGCGATGCTATTTTGACACAAAATGATGCCGTCACAGTGATTGCGATGGCATCAAAGTGGCTGTGATGGCATCAATTTGTGTCAAATGGCATCGCAATTGGCATCGCAAACAGGCTGTTTTCTACTGGTGTGTTCTATCGTTGTAGATAGATGAGTAGCCATAATCAACCGTGCTTGCAACGATTCCCAAAGTGTTTGCGCCGAATCACGTGTGTGATCGTGCGTGGAGGCGGGGGATGACATGCACCACCCGGCCAGATTTGGACGAGGGCGCAAAGTGGCAGAGTCAGGGATCTTGACCCAAGTGGCCAGAGTGAAGGATTGAATGGAGCCAGTGGGCAATTTGTCCACGATCACCGTAGGGAAATATTATTGTAGTAT